GCAGAGCTTTGATAAGATAAAGTCATAACCCAAACCATCTATTTGCTTGTAAGATCAGTGTTTTCTTACCATCTTTTTTAAAGTTTATTCAAATTTGAATATTATCTCCAAATATTTGTTTAATATGAAATATATTTTATGTACAACATTATAATATAATATTATCTAGTTTGATATTTGGCCGAGATAAAAATGATTAAAACATTTATTTAAAATGAACACAAGATTTGAAAATGAAGAGACTTGTTTATGCAAGCATGGTTTTTGAACAGCTCAGATTCAGCAGACACTCGCACGCTAAAGAAGTTCCCGTGAACATGTGTCCTTAAATGCTGCCATTGATCTTGTTGAGAATTGATGATGAGAAACAACTACCAGGTATCATCAGAACTTTATTATTGAATTACTTGAAACACAAACAACAGCCTTCGTAAAGAGATATTTGTGTACCCTGACAAGCAAAAAAGCTAGCTCTTTACAAAAAGTCTACTTCTTTCCATAATTCAAGCTCAACAGCATTTGTTTTCAATGTAAATTGATTGCTTTGGAGGAGGTTCCCACCCTCCTGTCAATAACTCATTGCCAAGAGTATTGGTGTTGCAATTCATCATTCATCAAATGAGCTACGACAATCTTGCTTACGGCAAGAAACTACCACACTGGTGCAAGCATTCAATAAAGAAGATATAGCTCAATAAAAATGTCTGGTTTTGTAGCTTTAGGTCGTCTTTTGTTGTTGTGAACATTAGCGGACACCAGAAGAGGCAAAACTGGTGACGATGTGGGCTGGGAGGAAGTTGTTAGTGGTGTCAATGTCGCACTTACTCTCGTATCTGTGCACTCAACTGAGACAGGCATGTGCAGGACCTCACTCCAAGGAAGTAGCAACATTTTCTGTTTCCGTCAGTGCTCACTAAGAATAGAATTAGCGTTTATGACTAAGTGTCAATAGACATGTCGTTTTTACAACTCTAGTCGACATTTGCATTTGTGTATTGAAGTGTTCACCTTGGTGAGGGGGTTCTGGGTGTACACAATTATGCATTGTGTGGGGGTGGTGGTCAATGCCTATGTCATAAACTTCACTTGTTGGATGCCTAACAGGAAATCAATGCTGCGGTATTGCTGAATAATTACTACAGGAGCGCATTTCTTTTCCATTGACATTGACCGACATGATGAACATTATGTGAAACACACGCCTTTTTCATACACATTTTTGAACTTTATGTTTTAATATTTGTGTTTTTTAATAATTTTAAATATGACTTACAAAACTCTTTCTATAATCATAAGAATTATTATCAACTTCAATCTGGCACTTTTCATTGTTTTTAATAGTCATCAATTGTTCCAGTTTCATAAGGGGCGGTCGGGTAGCCTAGTGGTTAAAGCATTCATGCGTCACGCCGAAGACCCGGGTTCGATTCCCGACATGGGTACCATGTGTGAAGCCCATTTCTGGTGTCCCCCGCCATGATATTGCTGGAATATTGCTAAAAGCGGTGTAAAAATCAAACTCACTCACTCACACTCCAGTTTCATGAAAGCATCCAGTCTGTGTGACATAGGCACAAATAACATGCTCTGAACTGTTAATCACATTGTCAACATACTCAGACCTATTGGCGCTTGTTGGCATATGTCCATGCTCTGACACATAAAAGGAAATTGTATGTCTTTTGGAAAGATAATCTTATAATCACCAAATTGTGTATGCATCTGTGTTAGTCAATAAATCATTTGTAAATGACAATTTCTAGCCGCTGTTGCATATATTATGACATATTTATTGATGAAGGCTACTGACTTCATACAACCTAACCCATGAGGCATGCACACAGATGTCCTCTGTCCCTGATACACAGTGTCCTCACCTGCATCGGAACAAACATTCCGCAGTGTCAAAGTATTTGTGGAAATCTATTAGATTACTTTATGAATATGTCAGTTTGTAGTGCCTTCGTTTGTAGGTAAGTTTTATTTTTATAACGTGATATGAAAAATGTTGTGTTATGTTCTGCTCAATGATGTTTGTTGAGCTAATATAGCAAAACGACAAATTATCATTAAAGTGCCTTCCGGCCGAGTAGAACTTTGAAAAAGTAAACAGTTTATTAAAGTTTTGAAAGAGTGCATAAAACAGACAGCCAGCATAATTTCTTTTTTTTATTAATTTCAAGGTTGAGACATGTAGATGTATGAAAAATGTATGAAAAATGTTTTTTGAGATATATCATGTTATGGGATTTCAAGCCCCTAAGAAGTAATTCTTATTATGTGTCTAATAACAATCCCAATACACGAAAATTAAGTCTTGCATCTGAGAACATTTATTTCTGTTAACACTTCGATGGTCATATGACTATGTCTTGTTAATTTTATTGCAATAATGCCTCGCTTAATTTCATCAGTCACCATCTTGTTACAGTCACATGATTTCGAGCCCCTCCATTACAGTCAAGTTAAAAATAGATGCACAACATAGTCAGTCACATGACATTACAGACAGAAAGTTTACAAACATCTGCCGATACATAATCAGTACATACGATTGTTCCGATGCAAAATTATCATCAGATCAAATTTGATTCAAATGTACATTTGGGAAAAAGGAGGTTTTGAGGTATGTTTTCATTACTTAATGAATATCTTTCCTCGTGTAGCCTTATTTGCACCACAACTTCAGCAGCAAGTGGTGAATACTTTGAGCATTGAAGCGTCTACCTTGATTACGTCATTAAAGTGCGTGGTCACATATTGTTGAGGGGCTAAAAAAAACTTGAGACTAAAAAACATGTGACGTGTTGATATATGTGTTTGTAGTTAATTTCTCTCAAAAAGTTTGAAAATTCTGCCTTTTGTTTTGCATTTTAGACAAATCTGTCATTGTTATTGAAATGATGGAATTAAGCAGCTAGTTGTCAGTCATTTTAATACTTTTGATAAAATTTTGTAACAAAGTTTAATCTGATAAAAAAAATGTTTAAGAACTCATCATTAAGGGTTTGGTCCACTGTGCTTGCAATGTAAAATGCCTGTGCAATTTTTTAATAAAATAGGTAAAAAAGGATTTTCTTTGGTGTGAAATTTAACAATATGTTTTACTACAGAGACAATCAAGGTGAATGAAGGTGTTTTGTGGTGAATTTGTAGGTGTGGTGTTTGTTTCTTGCTTTTCTCCAAGTTATGAGAGGTGTTCACATGTTACACTAAATCAAGAGTATAGATATTTTGAAAATATAACGTCTCAACGGATATGAACTTCCAACAAAGTAATAATATGTCATATAGCTGGAAAATTGCTGAGTGCGGCGTTAAACAACAAACAAACAAACATTATAACCGCAGTTTACTGTATTTGACAAGAAGTCCTTTCAACTCTATATCTTTGTGTTCACTGATCATTCAACGGGCATTAATGATCATTCAACAGGCATTAATGATCATTCAACAGGCATTAATGTCAGAGGTAGTAATAAAGTTGTATCTGTCATTCATGTGACATCAGACTTGATAAAGTCACATGTCGTAGGTGCTGCCATGTGAGATATCACAGCTTTTATCTATCACCTGGGCCATCCTTGACACACATTCACCAGATCTATTACATAGTGTGGCTCCCTGCACTGCCTGGTGTGAGGAGTGCCATATCTTTCATCATCAAGCAGGTGGTGCAGGGTAAACACAGTAGGTGAAGGAAGAAGAAACTAAAGACTGACAGATAATGGTGATGTACAAATAAACTATATTATAGCATGAACTTGAATGCTGGTGTAGATCTTAAATGTATTCGCTTGAAGTGTTCACATGTGAACATAAAGAATCTAACTGTCACTTTGTCATGGTCGAATTTATGTACTTGTTTCGATTACAACCTTACCTATACTTGTTTGTGTTACAACCTCATTTATACTTAAGTTACAGCCTTTAATATACATAAGTTACATTCTTATGTGTTCTTCTTTGAATGGCAGTTAGAAGTGAAATACATAACAGAGAGAATTTATGGATTTCAACCTAATGATATAGATGTTGACATCTATAAATACTCTCTCGTAAGTATACTTGTTTAAATTAATACAGTAAGTATACTTGTTTAAGTTAAAACCTCATTTATACTTGTTTAAGAAAAGAAAACAATTGTACTTGTTTATGTTAAAACCATATTTATATTTGTTTAAATAAATACCATAAGATTACTTGTTTAAGTTAAAACCTTACTTATTCTTGTTTAAGTTAAACCCTTATTATACTTGTTTAAGTTAAGACCATAAGTATACTTGTTTAATTTAAAAGCTTATTTATACTTGTTTAAGATAAGAAAATAATTGTACTTGTTTAAGTTAAAAGCTAAAGTTAAAAAGGATTATTTATACTTGTTTAAATTTATACCATAAGTATACTTGTTTAAGTTAAAACCTTATTTATGCTTGTTTAAGTTAAGACCATAAGTATACATAAATTGCAAGCTTATGCATACTTGTTTATGCTACAAGCTTATGTATATTTTCGTTTAAGTTAAAACCTTAAGTGTACTTATATGTATTGTGTAAAACAGTTATGTGTTATCTTCTCAAAAACCACAATGCCTTGAGAGCTGACACTTAGGTTAGGCTTTTCTCTACTAATCGTGACACTTTAATTAGGTATTGAAAACCAAACTAAATTTAAAATGTTTAAAATTTGTTTAATTGAAAAGTATCATTATTATTTCTTCACAACATAGTATTTTCAGTTCACTTTGAATGTACCTGGTGAGCAGTAGTGCCTTTGCAAATATATATTTTGATACTGCAAGTTTGCAATTTTATTGGTTTTTATCAAGTGTATCAGCTTGGTAAAAAACTTCACAAATTTTCATATACTTGATCAAGTTGCAACTTTTTGCGTACTGAGAAATGTTGCAACTTAATATATATTTGATCAAGACACAATTTGAATGACATGTAGCATATAGGTACCCAACAGTGTATAACCATTGTCTCAATTATTTGCAGTATCCTAGAGATGAGGAAGGAGAAGTCACGAGATGCAGCGCGGTCCCGCCGTGGGAAGGAAAACTATGAGTTCTATGAGTTGGCCAAGTTGCTTCCCCTGCCGGCGGCCATCACAAGCCAGTTGGACAAGGCCTCCATCATCCGACTCTCCATCAGCTATCTCAAACTTCGAGACTTCTCAGGCCATGGAGATCCTCCGTGGGTTAGAGATGGTCCCCCGCCCAATAAATCTGTGAAAGGTGAGCCTAGAAACACCCTAAGAAGAAACTATGTCGAGTCGAGGGAGATTAATTTATATACATAATATTGTTTTGAATTTTCAAGTGGGTTTAGCAACTTTGAGTATGGATTTTTATCCTGCTTTTGGCAACATTCCAGTAACATCCCAGTGGTAAACAACAGAAATGGGCTTCACACATTGTACCCACGTGGGGAATTGAACCCAGGCCTTCCACATGACAAGCGAACGTCATAGCCTTCAGGCTACCCCACCGTCCTCAACGACTTGATTCCAGCTTGGAAGAACTGACAAATAGCCTTAGGTTACTCCCCCTTTTGTCATGACAGAACAGGGCCCACTTTCACAAAACAATCTTAGCGCTACGATTATCATAAGTCTATGTTTGAGTTACAAACATCATAGCGCTAGGATTGCTTTCTGTAAGAGTCCACAACCAAACAGTATTCAATCCAGTATCTGTGTCTGTACAAGACATTTTGAATGAAATGTCTGTCTTTTAATGATCTCCGAGAGTGAATCTATTTCGTTCAAATATTATTTGCATATTTAGATGACTACAAACACAAACTTAACAACACAGAGTCGTTTTCCAATTTGCTTTAACATAGTTCATCATGTTATACAAGTCACCCCCTTTGACCAAATTGAAATCGCTGACTGTCCCTTTTAAACATGCAGAACAATCAGTTGGTATCTCAACTGGTACAAAAGCATTATGTCAGTACTGGCAGGTAGAGCAAACCGATATGACATTACCAAAGACATTAGCGTCTAGACTGCAGTCTGATCAGTTATTGGCCAAGTAGATGTTGTTAGGTTAAAGTGTGCTTGAATAGATTGCCCCAGGTCTGTTTCCATGTGTGCTGATTTATTGCCACTTAGTTAAAGAATGAGACAGCATCATGGTAAATTCACACCAAATTGAGCAGAACGCCAAATGATGGCTGCAAGAGTCCTGCTCTCTCTCTCACCATTGAGGGCGCCCTCAGCCAATCAGAAACATTCTCTGGTAGTCATGTGGCAGCATTCCACCAAGAGGCTCTCCCAAAGGGGGCTAGTTAAGTACAAGATAAAAGTGGGATAAAAACTTATAAATGTAAGGGATGATAATAAATACCTCTCAGTGTATGGTTAACATCAGCCGCTTACTTCTGTTATTTTGGTGTTGTGGTACAGCTGGCTCACAAATACATGTATTAGGCCCCATTTGGGAAGTTGTTTGTGTTAGGCTTCCTGGCTCAATTTGGGCAATTTATTTCTGAGAAAGATTATCATAACCTGTTCTGTCAGGGGAACACACGAAAACCTAAAACTTATTCTGTTTGGCTGTATGTATGTCTGATAACTGAGGTGTAGGATGATTAACAAGGATGACATGTAACTGCAAGTTATTCTCTTGTGAAGAACCACCCAGAGTGGCATATTTTTTTGTTTCACTTTCTTAAAGATCAACTCAGAGTGATATACTCTTTTGTCACTTTCTTGATGATCCACCCGGAGTGATATAATCTTTTATGTCACTTTCTTGAAGGTCCACCCAGAGTGATATAATCTTTTATGTCACTTTCTTGAAGGTCCACCCAGAGTGATATACTCTTTTATGTCACTTTCTTGAAGGTCCACCTGGAGTGATATAATCTTTTATGTCACTTTCTTGAAGGTCCACCTGGAGTGATATGCTCTTTTATGTCACTTTCTTGAAGGTCCACCTGGAGTGATATAATCTTTTATGTCACTTTCTTGAAGGTCCACCCAGAGTGATATGCTCTTTTATGTCACTTTCTTGATGATCCACCCAGAGTGATATAATCTTTTATGTCACTTTCTTGAAGGTCCACCTGGAGTGATATAATCTTTTATGTCACTTTCTTGAAGGTCCACCCAGAGTGATATGCTCTTTTATGTCCCTTTTTTGAAGGTCCACCCAGAGTGATATAATCTTTTATGTCACTTTCTTGATGATCCACCAAGAGTATTATTCTCTTTTATGTCCCTTTTTGAAGATCCACCCAGACTGATATACTCTTTTATGCTCTTTTTTGAATATCCACCCAGACTGATATACTCTTTTATGTCCCTTTTTTGAAGATCCACCCAGAGTGATATACTCTTTTATTACATCACCTTCTTGAGGATCGACTCCTGGTTGTATAATTTCTAAGCCTCATCTTCAAATTTCAAGTCTATATAAAATAAAGTGTTCAAGTTTTCTCTAATCTAGATAACATTTATTACAAAATTTACTCTTAAGAAACTTATCTTTGTGAAATTGCATTGTTGTACATTCTTTGAATAGTCCCTTTGAACATATTCACAGGATAAGGCCTCAACATTAATGTTGAAATACCTATATCATTGTTTGAAAATGACCAAACATACTGATCCAACATGCCACCACTTTATACATGACTCGCTTTAAGCCAGTTCAGGTAACCCCTGTTGGGCCTCCCCTCTAGTGCGCACTTGATATCCAGTTTTTTAAATATATTTGAAATTACCCAGGATTAAACTTGCTAATCAGCTGTGTTGAGTAACAGGACTCAAAATAGACCTACAGCAGTTGCCGTAAATCACAGGGTGGCCAGATAGCACCAATCGTTTGTTTTGTGTGTATTTTGGAGGCTCCAAATCTCCAGACAAGCCTGCAGTGATAAGGGAGCCTTGACTGACACCTTTGTCAAATGATACCATGGTAATTCTGATTCGATACAAGATTTTTTTAATCTGAAGACTCCTGCAGATGATAACAGTTGGAGGCATGTTGTTTAATGTGTGTGTGTTTACAGTGTAATTGTATTTTCTGGAACAGTCTGGTACATTTCCGCAATGCATACATTTTCTTTTAATAATGGACAATTTTTGTGGGTGCTGTTTTGACATGTTTGTCATATAAAGTACATTTTAACTCATTCGTTAGCTAAAGGTAGAACTGAAAGCGATGTATGATCACAGATAGCAGACATCACACCTGACTTAGACATAAACTAAGCTTCAATGTTATTGCAGAGATGAGCACCATTGTCTTTTCCGTTACCATTCCTGATGTGTATGGAAAAAGAGTGGAAGATTTTAGCTGTGGCCTGGAAGTGCTTGTGTTTGTTCATATTCTTATGACAATATATTACAAGTGATTCGGTTCATTTGAAGGGCTACCCAAACAAGTTTTGTGGTATTTATGTTACCATACATTGAAAAACATTAGGTGCCGACCTTTGGACTACTGTTTCCTGATTGGCTAATAATCGAATGGGCAGGGTTTGTGTTGCATTATTGCGCTGAACAACGTAATTGATTGTGTATGGTTGTCTACGTTGTGTTGATGATTAAATAAGCAGTCCATGAAGCTATTACTGTTATTGTTGACATATTTATTTCTAAGAATTGACTTCATTATGTTTTTGTGTTTGTGGAGGTTTAAACCACAGACCTATTGGTTATATAGGTCTGTTTATAAACATAAAAACTGTCGTGAACACTTGACATCTTTATTTTCATTGATTTAGTTGCATAAGAATTCAGGATAACATTTGCCTGTTCATATGATAAGGTGATGTACTATTCTATAAAAAGTGCTTTCAGAAACCAATATTGATTTTCTCCTGAAACTGTGCAGACACATTGACCAAGTGATCCAGTGTTGTCGTTGGTATTTAGGACTTTCAAATTTGATCATTTCATTTGGCTTCCATATGAAACAAACATTACATACTGCTAGATGTTTCCTTAAAGGATGAATAACCGTCATATCAAACACCAAGAGAGATATAAAACTAATATGACTGATCAAAACCATAAGATTTGTTTTTGAAGCATTGTATTTTGCACACAACTTGAACCAATCCACTGATGGATCCCTAGGCTAATATTTATTGCCCCCAATTTTTTAATCTTATATACTACTCAAAAGAAGTTAAGGAACACCCGATTCTTTCATATTACTATGGTTAATATCTCAGATTATGACAGATTAACTATAGTAATATGAAAGAATCGTTTGTTCCTTAACTTCTTTTGAGTAGTATATATAACTATCTACAAACTATAAAATATAATCCAGATGGAGCCAAGAAGAATGCTTAATTTCAGAGAACTATCTGGATTTGTTGAATTGTTTTAGACTGGAGTTTGGTTTACTTCTTAATTTAATCTGTAGGGTCTGGGAGACAGATTAATGGATTCCCCACACCATGCATATAAGTGTAAATTCCTATCTATTACCTTCCTGGATTGCCTGTCTCTGATTTGAAAAACAAGTGTCCTGTTCACAATCCATATGCGGGGTGGTAGGGTAGCCCAGTGGTTAAAGCGTTTGCTCGTCACGCCGAAAACCCGGGTTCGATTCCTGACATGGGTACAATGTGTGAAGCCCATTTCTGGTGTTCCCCGCCATGATCATGCTGGAATATTGCTAAAAGCAGCGTAAAACCAAACTAACTCACTCACTCACAATTCATATGCAGACTAATGCTAGAGAGGGTGATGAAATATCACCTTGCTACAAAATGTATGCAGAAAGTGGCATAAAATCCCACTCACTCACGCTGCATCTACCTGTCAGTTTAGAAGTTATTCTACCTATAACAAAATATTTACTGTTAACTGATAACACCCATTCACAAAGCAATAATTTTGAGATAAGACATTTCCTTTCATTGAGGCAGAATATCTCTCAGTGAAATCATCCCAAATAATGAAATCTAAATAGTTAAAGGTAACTTCATCAGAATATACCATCAAAATGTCCAATAAACAATTCTATAATACCTTGTGTGAATGGGATATAAAGATCTCCATGGCCGATTCCATGCCACTGATAGTAGCTCAACAGCCTTTGTCAACGACATGCCTTGCTCATTCATGTAACTACAGCTGATAAAAGCCATTTTCTGATATGGACTATAAGTTAAAGATCTTGGCAGGAGATACTAAGGTAACCATACTATTCCCACTCCAAGAAAAGCAACTCTCCCCAGAAAACTCCCCCTGCTAGATAAACTGGGTGGTGATAAGGGGATATTTAGTGGTTGAGTTTTGACATTTATGACCGTCATCACAGCCGGTTTAAGTTGGCGTCCTTTGGCTTGTTGGCATCAAGGCAAATTGAGTGAGGGTGGCGGTGAACTCACAAAGTCAAGATTCTAAATTAATAAGCTTCTCCCTGCGATTTCACTCCCAGGTTAGGGATGATAAACTGTCCCATGGTAAAAGAAGATAACTTTGTTGGTCCAGCGATGTGAGAATTACTGCATAATAAAACATTTTAACTTCACGGATATTACGAATGATAACTGTTTATTGAGAAAGCAATTGCCCTCCAATCTCCTCGTCTTTGCTCTCCAGAACTCTTCTTTGGTGGTAAATAGCGCCAAGATGATCAAATACTCATATTTCTGCTGGAATTGTTTTTATTTTAGATTGATTCTCAGATTTAGTATTGTTGGAAACTAGTTTTCCGGCTTGCGTGTTAGTTTGGTTTTGTACAGATGAAATTGAGCGTGTTTTACTTTTCAATCAGCTCGGTAATACTGTACTTGAAGTTTCCTTCCAAATAGATTATATTTTGAGAAACTATTTGATTTAACAAGGTTTAGCTTTAATGAAAAATGATTTGTTTAATATTTTGTTTCAATTTAACTATATCTGCATCCTGTTTTTTCCATATTTTATGATTAAAGTTAGGTTTTAAAAATTATTCTAATTAGAACTGAAACTGTTTTGGAGAGTCCTATCAATTTTATTGACGACTGTGACATTCTGTTTGATATTCTTAGAAAAATACATGTAAAAAAGTATTTTCCTCACAACCTAACCAACCAAAAATAATTTTAAAATCAGTTTGGAAGTAAAACACTTTGACGCTTTGGTTCATTGTTACCATCACTTCCTGGTTCTCCCTTTACATGTCATATGCCTAGCCTCATTCACATGCATAGTCATATATTCAGAGTATTTTCGTAGATTTAATCATAACAAGGTCTGTCATTTCAACATAATGTAACAACAGTTCATTTCTTGACAGATTTGGTCAGTAAGTCAAGAGGCAGGAGGGAAAAATAAGTACTTAGGTTGATTTTTGGTTGATTATCTTTAAACTATAGATATCTTCTTGAAATATACACTCTAAATATACAGCAAATAGAACTATATGTATATTTTCAGTCAACGAAATGTAAGAGTTGGTATTTCTTTTTTTTTGTTAACTGAGGTTAACTGTATTTTCTTCCGTAATGTTTGTGAAACTGTTATACAGTGTACAAGATGACATACAATAAGACCACTATAGCATGGAACAGAGTATTGTTATAGGAGTACCGAAATGTATCTACATACGTACTCAACATATCGATGCTTTCAGTGAAAGTTGCAAAAAAATGTCGTTTGATCTCTGTAATGTACCGGTATTAATTTTTAAATTCTTCAAAATTTAGCATTTTGCTTTTGAAATTGAAATTTGATGGAGAGATTGCAGATTTAGTATATTTCAACATTGGCATCATCTAAAGGTCTTTCCACACTAGATAATCGCTTCCACTACTATATACAATAAAACTTTTGGGATAAGAAAACTTTATGGATAACAACTTTTGTTTATTGGATGTAGCGATATTTCCATGTTGATTCTTACACTGTAGTCAACATTTGTCTAGACACAAGGTACCTGGGGTATATGTCTATACAGAAAGTTACCTGGAGTATATGTGTATACAGAAGGTACCTAGGGTATATATCTGTATACAGAAAAGTACCTGGGGTATATATGTATATAAAGAAAGGTACTTTGAGTATATGTGTATACAGAATGGTACCTGGGGTATATTTGTGTTTACAGAAAAGTACCTGGGGTATATATGTGTATACAGAAAGGTACCTGGGGTATATATGTGTATACAGAAAGGTACCTGGGGTATATATGTGTATACAGAAAGGTACCTGGGGTATATATGTGTATACAGAAAGGTACCTAGGGTATATATTTGTATACAGAATGGTACCTGCGGTATATATGTGTACACAGAAAGGTACCTGGGCTATATGTGTATACAGAAAAGTACCTGGGGTATATATGTGTATATAGAAAGGTACCTTGAGTATATGTGTATACAGAAAGGTACCTGGGATATATGTATGTATACAGAAAGGTACCTGGGGTATATGTGTATACAGAATGGTACCTGGGGTATATATGTGTACACAGAAAGGTACCTGGGGTATATATGTGTATACAGAAAAGTACCTGGGGTATATATGTGTATACAGAAAAGTACCTGGGGTACATTTGTCTTGACAGAAAGGTACCTGGGGTACCCCATACTCTTGATGTTGTGAGTGAATTATTACTGGCATTTGATGTGTGGTTCTCACACATCATTGTGGAAGGGTCCTGGGTCAAATTGTTTCCCATGTAAATATTACAAACGTAGAGATTATTATACGAAAATGTGTGACATACTGATTTTACGAATTCAGCATTCTTCTATTCCCCGAGCGAGAGCGAGTGTAGTACATGAATTGCTACATGAGGTTTGAAAAATCAGAATGACAATGTTTCCAGTGTGACATCCTCCCGACATCAACAATGCCGTCTGTATGACATAAACAATACACTGGTGCACTTGAAGACTTATTTGCACTAGTGCATATACATTTTTTATGAACATGGATATTTCTGACCCTATGGGTAATTAAAAAGACTGTGATTATGTTGAATTTAAATAAGTCACTTTGTAAAAGGCACAAGTATGACAAGAAACGCGACATGTTACCACCAGATTTATAGGTGTTTTTCTTCAACCACTAATATATTCTTGCCAATAAAATCTGTACCAAATCTTCCTCAAAGCAAAATAATTTATAGAAGAGTATATCATGGCCCCTAACCTTCTTGAAGTAGTAAAACGGCCATGGTATGTCATTCATTTGATCATATAAATCAACAACCCCTTTTACTAGAATTCAAAGAAAAGTCATAACAATTCTTTATTCATCATTAATTCTATCTGAATCATGCTCTTTGACATTGTATATTCAGATTATTAGCTATTAGTGTCAGAAATGTCACCATTTTTGTTTTCCTGTGTTTTATTCCTGTTATCAAGGCCCATGATGACAGGATGTCCACTCAGTTGGTTTTTCCCCCAGGCGTATAGCTGATTCATGTCATCTCTCATCCCCCTGGTGACAATATGTCAGAGACAGGCTACAGTTTAGCATATAGTGGCGGACAGTCCTCTGGTTTGGGCAGACACTGAAATTATGTTTTTGTTGGAAGAAATTTGGCGTATAATTGATCAGACGCTCTTGACTGTAGCCCCGTCTCAGTGCCAGTGGTCAAGAATTGGTATTAATTGGAAGTCGTGTTCGGGGAATAAAATAGAATTAGATATGTCTTTGATGATTATGATAATTGAGTTTAGTTAATGAAGGGTTTAAGTTGTACATTGTCTTGAAGAATCAGTCCGAATTAACAGAGTCAGGTATCTTCAAAAGATGGTCATAACGACACACAAACTCAGAACTGTGGTGCTTAGCAATTTGGTAGGGGTGAATATTGAATTTTGGATGTGACAATATTTATTTTGAAAGTTCCCTTGTGGGTTTTTGTTTCATCAAGTGATGATTGTTGGCAACTATTTGGGTCTCACAATAAAAAAGATGAAGTCTGGTTTTAAAAAACCCCAACTAAAACACTAAATGTACAGTTTGAAAAATCCTTTGACCTGATAAAGGTGCAGAAAAAAATGGTTTTGCAGTTCAAAATGTATCCTAGAATTTGCCATAAGGGAAGGGGAGTCATTTCTTACTCATCGAGAGGAGTGCTGTACTTTGTATGTGCGGAGGGGTCAAAGCCACTCCATCTCACCCCAGCTAGCAGGCCTAATGGGAAGGTCGAGATTGCTCCACCCCCTCCAAAGGGCACAGGGGATTGGGATGGGGAGTCAGTGCTCACCTTATATTCCTGTAATATATATAAATAACAAATACGTCCAAATACGTTATTTATGTTCCAGGGCCATCAAGGAGAAGAAACTTGTCTGCAGTTGCCATGGAGATCTTTGAAACACATCAGGGGACACACATATTACAGGTAGCTAAAGTATTTATTACTATGATTCATGAGTATAGAAGTATAACTACTAATGATGTAGCAGACATTGCACCTGGGTTCAGTTCCACAAAGAAACCTTAGCACAAGACTACCATAAGCCCGTGTTAAAGTATGTGAGTTACGATCACCATTGCGTTAAGGTTGCTTTGTGGAACAGGGCGCCAAGGTGTATCTTATGTTAAACCAAAAACACAAGTCTGAGGTGGGTGAAATTGAAGTTATTTCACTAGACATGATGCTGAACCTTATATCTTTAAGGTGTTTATTCTTGGGGTGGGTGATATTGAAGTTATTTCACTAGACATGAAAGCTAAAGCCCATATCTTTAAAGTGTTTATTCTTGGGGTGGGAGATATTGAAGTTTTTTCACTAGACATGAAAGCTAAAGCCCATATCTTTAAAGTGTTTATTCTTGGGGTGGTTGATATTGAAGTTATTTCACTAGACATTATGCAGAACCCCATATCTTTAAAGTGTTTATTCTTGTCGTGGGTGATATTGAAGTTATTTCACCAGATATTATGCTGAACCCAGTATTTGTAAAGTGTATGTTCTTGAAGGAATATTCAGTGACCGAGACATATCTGTGTCTTGTTTAACATTAGTGACATCTGATGTTTCATCCATTATTAACATCAATGTCAAATTATCCCTTGACACAGTTGGAATAGAAGTTTCGAGAATTATCAATATTTTCCTTTTAGTATAGCCCACAAACATAGGCACACTATAACTGCATGTTAAATCATTATGATGATGTCAAACTGTTGTTGTTGCAGTTGATTCTGAGCCAGGAATTCACTGGCCATTCTCAAAAACCATTTTATCAAGTAAAACTGATGCAACTATAGGTCACTGAGCAAGATTATAGAGAAATTATATATCAACCATAACATGGTTAAGTCAGAGAAATCACTTGAATCCGTTGATTCAGGAAGTAGAATCAACAGATCATTATGATTTCTCCATTACATAATCAGATATTTTTATTTTTTTTCTAACACTGAAACAAATCAGCTTAGGTTGAAGTGTTTGAGGTTGTGTTTGTTAGCCTAATGAGCAATGTATTTGCCCATTATGAGGACGTCCAGTGGGCCATTCAACAAAGCGATCTTAGCGCGGCAGTTCTGTGAAGTCCCCTACTTTAACGACTTGTGACTGTCGCAGCACTCGCCATTGATTTATGGAACAGGGTCCTGGGACTCGTTCCACAGAACGAACTTTGCGTTAAGATGATCGAACTTCCACAAAGGGTTCTTGAAGCTACAACTATTGTTAGTCAGCTTCGCAGTTATGTTTGTCTTTGTGCTAAGATCGTTTATGCAGGTAGGCTGTGGACTTGTGAAATACAATATTCTTATTGCTAAAATTGTTAATCCAATGCATTACCTTAAACTTACAATATCTGTTAAAGGAATGTCTCTTTGACGAAAAGGGCCCTGAGGCCTGTTCCACAGCGCTAAGACGATCATAACTCCAACATGTAACATAGACTTGAAGCAGTAGTGGCATTAAGAACTCTTGTCGACTGGGGCCCTGGACTGTGGGTATATTTCATGATGGCCATTCTCCATGTTCCCTGTCCTGATATGACGGGAAATCTACTGTGAAAACCCTATGTAATCACACAAATGTTCCAATTGAGGCATCAATCTTTCCTCTAATTACAGTATGGTTAAGTTTCTGCTTAGTGAAATTCCTTACATGGTGTGCAGATACTGAGGTACAAGAATCTGTATTCATATCATTGTCACATACTGTATGATAGTCTCACTGCAGTGCGTACAGGTTTGACCAGATATAATATCTGTATTTACCAGGCAATAAATGAAACTGCATATACGTTTATCATATGCACAGTTTGTTTTGATATCTAGCATTTTTACTACTCAAAATAAGTCAACGAACACCGGATTCTGTTATATTACTAAGGTTAATCAAAATGGGACAAAAGAAGTTATAGAATAACTATGGTAATATGAATGAATCGGGTGTTCTTTAAATTCTTTTGAGTAGTATATTTATTCACACAATTGTTACGTGTGCAGAAACAATTGTATCCTCACATGCGACTGAACAACAGCAGGTAACAGAAAAAATGATTTCAGCTGTTTAGTTTATGTGTGTAATCACTTCAGTGACCACATAGCATTAATGAAAAGCTTTGTATCTGTTAGGAAATATGAATACATTGTAAAAAAAAGGTGATGCATGCAGAGATATTATCACAATGCATTGCTATGCTATTTGGGCTTAATTATTCAATTTTAACAAGTAAATACTCTGATATAGAGCAAATTCACTCTGCATACAAATATAGAAAATATAAAATAAAAAATATAAGAACTTTGAAAAAATATTATCACACCCTACACATGTTTATTATGGGGTTTTGTATAAATAACCATGTTTTGAATTACAGGTAGGTAATAGATAGAAAGAAATTTGAATTCTGACAACCTAGGAAATTGAATCTTGGCGACATTGTTTCCAAGAGTATGATAAGGCCTCGGAGAGCCATTACACGACACGAGTCCCCCCCCACTCCCCCCTCTCCATTCTATCCCCTCTCTATCCACTGTGGTTTGCTCATTGGTTTTCTGTCAAGCTTGTCTGATCACTTGTTGCGTCAGTGCCACTGCGGATTTTGTCTTATTACTATTCAATTTGCATATTAATTGAAACGAACGCAGACGATTTTTATGGACAGCTCGGAAATACCAAGCTAATGTGCGATTCCCAGTTATGATAGTGTAAATCAGCCCTCATAAAATACAGAGAAATATTTGAGGAGTGATTTAAAGTGTAATTTAATCTGCCAGTGTTAACTCTTTCTTGTAGCAGGCATAGATTGGCAGTTAAGAATCAATTAAGCTTTATGTCCTTATTCAGGCCTTTGCCATTACACCGGGATGGGATTTCCAGGCCCAGAGAGATTCGGGAAAGGGAGAAAAACACAGGAGTGGGAGATTCACCGAGATTTGTGTGATCTTATTTCAGGGTTGTTTACATATTCTTCCTTTATATAAACAGAAAACATGGCAGACTACATGTATGTGACAGCTTTGGGTTTGGGTTTTTATGTCCGACATAGCTATCATTATTGTTGAATCACTAGGAGAATATGTAATGCTTAAAAGTGTCATTTTTATGTTCGGAGATGAATTTAGTCGTCACTTCTGCATGACAGAAACTATTTCATTTGCATGAAACATTTATTTTCATGAAAGATTCGTCAGTTTTGTGAAAATGAACACGGAATATTATTTTTCAAAAGCTTTGGTCAGTTATTCTGCACAGGGAAATGACATGGTATAAGAATATGTATTGTTTTATAAGCCCTAACAGTATTATTCAATAAATTCCACTGAATATGAAAAAATGATTTCTTTTGCCACACAGTATGCTGCTGCCCCAAAAATATTTGATTACATGGTGAAAAATAGATGAATTCAAAAGCTCCAGTCATTTCTGCCAGCGAACAGAGTGGCCAAATTGTTTTTGGCTTTATTCAAATTTCATCAAAACACCCGAGATTAATCAACTCTATCAATTTGGAATAACTTCACCTCTCAAAGGTACTTGCAGCTCCTCCCCGTAATTTCTTTCCACCTTCCACTTTACTCAAGGATTCTCGTATTTAGGATCTTCAAATTGTCGGAGAAACAAATTTATACACATAGCCCCATGAGGATGGAACGTGAACGGAATTCTCCTACGAATGCGCATTTCTCCATGGGTTGAGTCAAGAAGTTTTTGCCGAGAAGGGAGAAGTCTCGGAATGAAGGGCTTTAATCAGAAGAACATTAATAACCATGTCGGAAACGGTGAATGGCATTTGTATTAAAGTGTTGATAGATTGCCTCGTGAGGGACCCTTCCTAATTAGCTCCATAATCAAATTTGAGCGAGTCATTATTGTTTGCGGCATCGACAATGAATTAACTTCAAAGGTGCTTGTCTCTCGTTGAACCATCATAACCCGCGAAATCGGGACGGGAAATACACTGTAGCGGAAACGTCCACTGCTACCACAGTTTCACAATCTAGTTTGGCTAGGTAACCTACGACATTGTAAATGAATTTGTTTCCTCCGTTTTTTACATAGCAGTTGTTTATTATTCAGATTTCATTTTCAAGTCGAAGCAGAGGGGGAACCTGGAGGAAAAGTTGTCACTGGAAGTGCAACGAAACTCAACGGGAATTGTTTGGATAATTCAATCGAGGTGTTGTAACGAGGTGCCGTAATGATTTGTCCCTGAGATTATGTTTCTCATTATCAGCTGTTTATACCTTGTGATTGATTGCTTTCAATTGTGCACGGCTGCATGAAATCTTGTTAGATTTCCTCAAATTTATCGAGCTCGACTTGGCCCTTTTTCTGATAATAGTTTGCAGATTGACTTAGTAGCGCGAATGGAGCTAGGGGTGTCACTCACACTAATGCCACGGAATAATTGAAAAAATCAATTTTATTTCCTCTTTTGCAATTCAGATTTGTGTTTTATAGCCCAATCTTATGTTTTTGGCCTTTAGAGTAGGATTTTCTATACATTTTATTGGCTTGCTAATCTACTCTTCTAGCACAATGGTTGTTTAATTACCATAAAGATAGGAAGGGGGGTTCCATGTTTGCTAAAATGTAATAACATCTTTTCCAAGCTTTCTTAGGTGTATCCTGCGCCACCATAAAGCTTTATCAGTTATCTTTATTGAATCCATGAGGAGTGGTCCGACATACGTAGTATGGTCGTCAGTGCATTGATCAATGCCATATAGAATCTCTTTTTCAAATCTTTAAGACTTTAATGTCCGAATATTTTGTGCAATCATTTTTATGAGTGTATCTATATTTGATGGTTGTAAAATATGTAACAGTGTAAATTTTACTAATGTTTTGTGAAAAAGGTTACTGAAAAAAACACTCTTCTTTGAATGAATATAATTTCCTTTATATGCCAGATGAAATAATGTTGTGCT